CTGTATGTGGGACTCGGCCTCAGGATGGACAGAGAAGTGGTGCCTCGATGCGCACCCGGGATCCGAACCCGGGCCGCCAGCATCGCAGCGCACGCACTTAACCACCAAGCCACAGGGCCGGCCCAACCAGATCTTCTAAATAACCCAAAATAACCCATCGACACATCTGAGAGAAGCCTGGTTGTAAATCTGAACAGCCTACAAAGGATCCGTAAAATATGGACTGAATTATGTCCCTTCCCAAATCCATACGCTAAAGCCCCCAGGACCTCTAACTGTGACTATATTCGGAGAAAAGGCCTTTAAGAGGTGGTTAAGATAGAATGAGGCCATTAAGTGGGCCCTCATGCAATCTGACTGGTGTCCTTATGAGAAGAGGAAATGTGGACACACAGAGAGACACCAGGGCCGCGTGTGCACAGACCGAAGACCACATGAGGCCACAGTGAGAAGGTGGCATCTGCAGGGCAGGGAGAGAGGCCTCAGGAGAGACCAACCCTGCTGACACCTGGATCTTGGACTTCCAGCCTCCAGACTGTGAGAAAATAAATTTCTGTTATTTAAGCCACCTGGTCTGTGGCATTTTGTTATGGCCACCCTAGAAATCTAACACACCCCTACAATGGAATTCTCTGCTGCCATTAGAAATGACGATGTAGATGCTTATTTTTACTGATATGGAAAGATGCCAACAATACTGTCAAGTGGTAGGAATGCCACTTAATATACATATACATTACACATGTAGATACACAGACACACATGCATATATAGATACATACTGTATAAACAGGAAAAAACATGAAAGGAGAAACACCAAAATTCTAACAGGGAGGTTCTCTCTGGGTGGTGGAATTAGAAGTTAATTTTGCTTTTCTTTGTTTCCGTTTTGCCTGTTTGGAAAACTGCATTCACACAGAATGCCAAGAATAGCCTTCTCTGCCACAGAACTGGTCCTTAGGCCTGGGCCTCCCTTTGCCACCCTGAAGGCCACAGAGGAACCCCACCTTGATTTCAACAGCAGTACAGGATTCTCTGCCTCATACGAGCCCCCAGGAACCCCTCGCCATGACCTGTGCCCACCCATACTTCCTCTGGAAATAAACTCTGTCCGTCTGCACATTTCCATGGAAAGCCTTCTCATAAGTCACCTTTCATCTCTAAGCAGGTAGGCAGAAATTTCACTAATTAGTTAAATATTCACAGACTTTTCTTCAGTACCCACTACACACAAGGTTCTATGTAGATACTGCGGGGCACAAAACACCACCTTGACTGAACAGGCCTATTATCCAGCTACGCCAACAAGACAAGAACACGTGAGAAGTTCAACTGAAACAAGGTTAGAGGTTTTATTTCTTTTTTTTTTAAAGATTTTATTTATTTATTTTTCCCCCCAAAGCCCCAGTAGATAGTTGTATGTCATAGCTGCACATCCTTCTAGTTGCTGTATGTGGGACTCGGCCTCAGGATGGACGGAGAAGTGGTGCCTCGGTGCGCGCCCGGGATCCGAACCCAGGCCACCAACATTGGAGCGCGCGCACTTAACCACCAAGCCACGGGGCCGGCCCAGAGGTTTTATTTCATAAACATTAATACAGCACCTACCACGTCACCAGCACTGGTCTATGTGCTTTTCATTTAATCCTCTAAATAACCCTCTGAGGTCGGCCCCGTTAGGATGCCGATTTTACAGACAGAGACACTGAGGTGTGGGGAGGTTGGGCAGTGTGCTCTGTGCCCCCGGGACATGGTGTTTGGGGGTGCTGAGAAGATCCAGTACTCAGGCAGGCTTGGGTCAGCAGTTCTGGGGACTTGGCCTGCCAGCCAGGCCTACCAACCAACGCCTCCTTTCTCCTTTCACCACAGGTCACTCTCCCATCCTGTCCTCCTGCCTTCCAGCAACACCACCCGTGGAGTCTGCGCTCGCCCCCACGCCCCACTTCCCAGGCAGAGCTGCCGTCCTTCCCGCCCCCACTTTCTCTCGGGAATTAACTCCAGCACCAAGATGCTGGGAGCACTCTGATGCACTGGCAACCTGTCAGTATTAAACTGCAGCACTACCTATCAGCATAGATAAAGCCAGATGAGATCTTGAGGAGAACAGAGTGGCCCCACTCCTGCCTTCCCACAGACACCACTGCGGCAGACCGAGGGATGCCCGGCTCGGGGGAGCAGACTTCTGCCCGGGAGAAGACTGAAACGGCATCGGGACGTGGGCAGGGCTGGCAAGGGCAAGCTGGTTCTTTGAGCTGGACTAGGACCCTCTGATCCGGGCCGGGACCTCCCTGGAGGCACAGAGAAGGACGTGGTCACTCACCGTCCAAAGCTGCCTGTGACCGGGTAGGAAGAGACCAAAGAGCCCAGCACGTTGGTGAGGCCTAGGGAGAAAATGGAAGGAAAAGGTTTATCCAGGGTGGGGTGGAGGGGGGAACAGTATAAAATAGAGGGAAAAAATAGATGGGAGGTACGGGAAAGGGAGAAAAAACCAGAAAGGAAACAGAAGGACACGGGAGGGGAGTGTCCTATGTCTGATGCATTCTCTCTCTCTTTCTCTCTCTCTCAGGGAAGAATGAAACAAACCATGATCTTTGCCAGGTTTGCTGAGGTTGATTCTAGCTTTAAAATAACTCTGACCCGAGCTTTGCCCATGCGCATTAAACATTCCTTTGCCCACGTAGAGCAGAAAGAGGAACCCCACCTCTGTAGAGGGGGCGGATGGCCGAGTAAGGCAAGTGCTCAAGCCAGACCCAAAGTGAGCGGAAGTCGGCTGCAGTCCACCTAGTTCACTGAGTGGAGGGGCAGAAGGTCATGGTTAGTCAGCTGTCTTCCCCATGTGACACTGACTCACCTCTACTGGATGGAACCCTGCCTGGAGCCTGGCTGGGACCTAAGAACCAAGATAATTAGCCCATGTTTATCACAACTGGCCCCACCAGCATCCGTGTCACCCATGGGCCTCCATAAAGACCACGGTCTCCCCCACTCCATAAAACCCACAATGGGGCCACAGATTGCAGACCTGCTCTCAATACAGCTCGAGGTGGGGTCTGCTCAGAACCATAGCCCAGCTCATGGCCTGGGAATGGGGCCAGACATTGGCAGGTGCAGCAAAGGCCAGACACTGACCACAGGTAGTCACCATGACTCCTTACGTGGGTTCCACAAGAACTGAGTCAGAGACCCGACTCCATCCAAATCTGCTGATGGCGGGGATCCCTCCTTGCACTGGCATTCTGTGGGATCCATGTCAGCCTCTTGCCATGCACCTGCTGAAAGCTGCCTGGCCTCTCTCACACCACGGGGTCAGCAGCCTTTGTGGTCACTGTGTCCGCCTTAGTAACCTCAGCTTTGTGACCATCCTTTGTCTCTTCTGTCTGGGTTATGCTCTGGAACTCACTGTATCATCAGGAGAGGAGTTTTGTGCTATTTGTAGAAACGGGAAGGAGATGCTCTGAGAACTCACATTTGCAACATCTACTGGTGGGTGTATGCGGAAGTCTGCAGACTTTCTCTATCTGGGGGCGAGTGATTCCTGGTCAACCCCAACTCCACCATCTACCATGAAATTAGAGTGAGGCACCCCCAATGTCCCAGGTGTGACCCATCCTGGGGCTTCACGCCCTATGCTGTCAAGAAACCAGTGGTTCGGGTCCAAAACGCTGCCATGAAATAGCCCAGGGAGAAGTTCCTGGTGGACTCCTCCAGGAAGGAATCCAGTGGTGCTGCCCAGTTAGACCTTTGCCCACCTCACGAGGGTAGGGAGGAAAAGCAGAAACGCCTGGCATCCACAAAATTAAAAACAGTAATGATCAGCAAATTTAAGATTCACGCCGTGGTCTCAAAATGAAACATCAGAGGCCAGACTCATGAAGACAAAACAAAAGAAAACTACGTGTGACACCTGGCACAGACCCCATCCCCAGCCAGGCAGCCTGGGGCCTACCTGGTCTTCACTCATCCACCTGCCTGGCCTGGAGGGAGGCCACAGGGCAGGACAGAGGCAGTCAGGATCCCCACAACCAGCAGGCTCACCTGAGGTTCTATCTGGCCACATTCTTCAGCAATCTGACCCCACCCCCCGGAAGCCCCTCCTCCCACTGGAGGTGGAACATTCCAGGCATTCCTTGGCATAGAACAAGGCTACAGACCTCTGGTACACAGCAGGCACTCAATAAGCTTCAGACTGGACACCAGATGCCGACTTCCTACTCCTAGTGATTAAACTGAATCATCTGGAGATTGAGAATGACCCTATGCTAATATTTCAAAAGGGCCCTACTCAACAACCCCCACTCCTCGCACCTCAGCTCGACCTATCAGCACAGCTGGAGCCAGATGCAGAGAGGCGCAGCCAGACCTGAGAGCCGCCGCTGGAGTCTTACCGATGGCCAGCAGCTCCTGGTTGGCGTCAATGCGGTAATTATTTTGAGAAGCTAAAGAGAATGGACAACAAAAACTCTGTCACTAGATGTATGATATTACCAGGAAAATGTTCAGGAAATGAAAAAATAGGTTACAAATTTCTATCCACAGCATTGTCTAAGTTTTGTAAATATAAATGCATAAACACATATACAGTACATGCGCATATGTATACGTGTATGTGTCTGTGTGTATCCCATAAAGTAGAAAGACAGACAGCAGAATGTTAACCGTAGTTAACCGGGGGAGTGAAGGAGGTCACAAGTGACTTGTTTCTTCTTTATACATTCCTGCACTTCCAATGTTTTCTACAACAAACATGTCTTGCTTTTATAATAAAGGGAAAAGGTTTTAAACTAAAAGCCTCTCTGATTACAAATCGGGAAGACTAGGTCACAGACGAGGCGGTCCCAGAGAGGTGAGCGGGCAAAGATTTAGGGGGAATCGGGGGGGCTTGAATCTAAGACAGGGGTTGGCAAATGTCTTCTGTAAAGGGCCAGACTATAAGTATTTGAAGCTGTGAGGGCCACGCTCTCTGTTGCAACACTCAAGTCGCCACTGTAGCCTGAAGCAGCTCGAGAACACGTCAGCAAGTCAGCAAGGCTGTGTTCCAATAACACCTTATTTGTGAACACTGAAATGTGAATTTCACATACTTTTCATGTGTTCCAAAATGCTAATCTTCTTTAGATTTTTTTCAAACATTTAAACATGTAAAAGCCATTCTTAGGTCACGGGCGGCAGCCCTGATTTAGAAGAATGACAAGCTTTTACAAACCAGAACAGGAGGTCAGCTGAGTACAAAAGAAAATGGGAAGTTTTCTAAGAATAGACAAGATGAGTAAAAGCTGTAAGATGCAGATTCCAAGACATTGCAAAAAAAAAGAAAGATTATCAGAAAAACAAAAACTGAACAAGAAAGATGTGAGCTGAACATGCTGCAAACTGAAATGCAGCATGATCTAGAGCACCTGCCGGTGTTTGTGAAGGAAAACCCTTCAGAATGGAAGTTAGTCAGGCGTCTCCTTGGAACGGTGTAAGGGTCGAGATGCTGGAACTCTGGAGAAGGAAATTTAACCCTGGCACCACCTGGGCTGGGCAGTAAACACGATTTACGTAGTCATAACAACATACGTACCATTTATTGGGTTTTAACCTTTAGAATCAACCTATACCCAAACGCAGGGAGGACTTAACTATATTATAGAACAGAATGAAAATGTCCTCCACGTGGACAATGCAAAGCTGGAAGTCCAGCGGACCTAAGGCAAGGGGACCAGCAAGGACTGAGCAGCCTCAGCTCACGTGGAGGGGATCAGAGTACTGGACGACACATAGATACTTAAATAGAGTCATGTTTCCCAGCCTCCCTGGGGGCAAGGAGAGGATAGGCCAGGTGTGCTCAGCCAGCTGGAAAGAGCACATTGTTAAACTTTTAGGAATTTTGTGAGCCAGTTATTAAACACAGCCATCATCACCAATTAAATGAAAACTCTCAATTAAACAAATTACATTAAAAACAAAGATAATACTTAAAACTTGTCATTCCTAATTATTTTACTACATCCTACTATGACTGATGAGGTTATTTAACCGTGTCTGTATGGCAGATGGTGGCTACTGCACATCTCATCCCAAGCTGTGGACATTCAAACTCCATGTGCAGCTCAACATCGGCAGGGGGGGAGAGGTGGGGATTTACACCCCAGAAAGTGCAATTGGCAAAGGCTAAATGCAGGGCCTTTTACTTTCACAGAGAGCGGGCCATCAAACATTTCTAGCCACCACTGGAAGGTGTTTTTCATTGTAAATCCAATACTGCTATAGATTTTTTAAAAAACATAAGCATGTATTACTTGAATAAATATTCATATTTCTAAACATAGAGCAGACAAAAGCAAGCAAGAAGGTAGGAGGGCCAAGGTGGGAGGGAAGGAGGTGGGGAAATGGGGGCGGGCGTGGGTACGGGGATGAGGTGCAAGGATGAGGCGTGAGGATGAGGCACCGAGGATGAGGTGCAGGAGCAGGGGTAGCAGTGGGGCAGGGGCAGGGCAGGCATCTTACCAAAGGACTTGGCCACAGCAATGCTCTCCAGGAGACCCATCAGGGGCACCACAGCCAGCCCTGCCCCCATGTCCTGAGAGAGGAGAGAGGGACAGTGAGTGACCCTCTGGGGAAGGTGAGGACAGGTCTGCCCAGGCAGTGACCTCCCAGGGCGGGCATGGCTCTTGCACATCCAACAGAAGCAAACGTGCTGCAGGGCTGTGAGCTCACACAGGCAAGGAAGCGTCTCCTTATCAGCCAAGGAGCAAGACGCAGAGCAGAGCACAGCAAATTACTGTTCTGCCAGTATCCACAATGGGAGGAATATCCCTTGGCTCAAGGCAGAAAAGTAAACATGGTGTTCCTTTAGGTTGTGCCCAATCTGGAATTCTTTCATATCTGTCCTTGCACCCAGAGACGCCCCTTCCTGAGGATTTAGCAGTCCTAGCTGAGCCAGAGCTCCCTGTCACTAAGCAGATGCATTAAGGGGACAGAACCAGCCTGGCTCCCCATCTCTACCCACCTGTACCATCTCGGTGAAGGAGACTGTCCCGTTGGCGGTGGTCACTGAGAAGGGAGGGGTCCGGACTGGAGGGAGCCCCTTGGCTATCTCCCCAGTTAGAACAAAAGGCTGGTATCCGGTCACCTCAAAGGAGTACGCAACCAGGGCGGCAAAGGAGACCACCAGGGCATTGCGAGCTAGGACAGATGGGGAGAGACCGTCAGGGACACCTGGGTCACTGGGGTAAATACACTCAGGAAGTGGAACACCCACCCCAGCCACAACCCCTTCCAGGTCAGCCTGGGAAACAGCACAGATACAAGCAACCGTGTGGCAGGCACGAGCACACAACACCATGGAAAACACATAGGGTTAGGGCAGCAACACACAGGGCCAGTATGCACATTATCTACTGGTCATCACCATCTTCTGGTGACTGCACAGCGAATGGCACAGCTGGAAAGACACTTTGAGATCAGATGTCCAGGGAGGATTCCTCTTCAAAGCAAGATGGAGTAGGGCTGGCCCCGTGGCTTAGCGGTTAAGTGCGCGCGCTCCACTACTGGCGGCCCGGGATCGGACCCTGGGCGCGCACCGACGCACCGCTTCTCTGGCCATGCTGAGGCCGCGTCCCACATCTAGCAACTAGAAGGATGTGCAACTACGACATACAACTATCTACGGAGGCTTTGGGGGGAAAAAAAGGAGGAGGATTGGCAATAGATGTTAGCTCAGAGCCGGTCTTCCTCAGCAAAAAGAGGAGGATTAGCACGGATGTTAGCTCAGGGCTGATCTTCCTCACAAGAAAAAAAAAAAAAAAGCAAGATGGACTAAGAGAGCAGGCTTACCCTGCAGCCTGAAACAACTAAAAACTGAACAACATATATAGAACAACGGTTTTCAAGATGCTGGACATCAGGCATGAAGGACGATGACCCCTTGAGAAATGGGACACAAGGTAGGTGAGCCTGTGACTGCCCTGGCTGATGGCCTGGAGTGTCTCCAGGGTGTGGTGTGTGGAGGGGGCTCCCGGCAGAGCCTGGGGCTCTCCCTGATTGAGGAGGCAATGCTGGGAGTCCAGGGACGTCATGGCGGCTAGGGTTGACAGGAAAGCTCACAGGAGAGGAGAGGGCCCGCTGAGAGACCCTGGAGACCTGCAGAGGGACCCCCTCAGGTGTGCAACAGAGAACTATCAACACACCCCTGTGAGGAAACTACCAACCCAAAGCGGGGAAAGAGAGACCCAAGAAGGTTAGAAGGGCCAACCCCTGAGGCTCACATGGGCCAGGAACAGTGTGTTCCCACTAGCCAGAGTGAAACATCATAATTCACGGGGCATCAGATACTTAGTTGGATTTTACCTCAGCAGTGGAGAAATTAGCCCTGGACCTGAGATTGGAAAACTATTTCTGTGAAAGCCTAGATAGTAAATATTTTTGGCTGTGCGGGCCACACAGCCTGTTAAAACTACTCAACTCTGCTGTTGCAGCACAAAAGCAGCCATGGGCAATGGGAAAACGAATGCGGGCAGCCGTGTTGCACTACAGACTTGGAACACAACTCCAGATTTGGCCCATCAGCCACGGTTTGCCACAGTTCGCCGATGCCTGCCCTGGAATGAAGACTGCTCTGTCCTAGCCTACCAAGCTTAAAAAGAAGACCTGAATGGATCAAACTATTCCAAGCAACTTAACTGCATCTCAGAACAAAGCTCAAGAAGATTCATAGAATACAAAAATACCCAGTGCCCAACAAGGCCAAATTCTCAAAGTCAAATGAAAATCACAAAATTCAATTAAAAATCACCAGACATGCAAAGAAGCAGGAAAATATGACCCATAATGAGCAGAAAAATCAATCAATCAAAACCGACCCACAAGTGACACAGTTAAAAGATGATAACTAGCAGTCAGGACACTAAAAAGAGTAAGTGTACCTGATTCCACATGTTCAAAAGCTGGTGGGAAGATTAAGCATGTTAAATACAGATGTGGAAGATATATATATCCCAAATTGGACTTCTAGACATGAAAACCACAATGTCTGAGGCGAAAAAACACTGGATGGGATTAACAGGAGACTGGATATTGCAGGAAAAAAGACAAGCGAACTCAAAGATGTGGCAATAGAAACCATCCAAAATGAAACACATAGAGGAAAAGCAAGATTGAAAAATTATACAGAGCATCAACAGTGTGGGACAATTTCAAGTAGCCTTATATATATGTATCAGAGTCTGCAAAGAAAGTCTGAGGAGTGGCATGGGGGGGACAGTACAAGGATTCGAAGAAATAATGGCTGGATATTTTTCTCCAAATTTGACGAAAACAGTAAACCCACATATCCAAGAAGCTCAATGAATCCCAAGCACAAGAAACGTGAAAAAAACTATACCAAGGCACATCAAAATCAAATTGCCTAAAACCAGTGATAAAGAGAATACCTTAAAAGCAGCTAGAAAAAAGGGTCACATACAGAGGAACAAAGACAACAATAACAGCATACTTCATGTCGTAAGCAAAGCAGGCCAGAAGACAGGAGAACAGCACCTTTAAGGCACAGTCGTGCACCACATAACCAAGTTTTGGTCAATAAGAGACTACATATATGATGGTGGTCCCATGAGATTAGTACCATACAGCCTAGGTGTGTAGTAGGCTATACCATCTAGGTTTGTGTAAGTACACTCTATGATGTTCGCACAACGACAAAATCGTCTAATGATGCATTTCTCAGAATGTGTCCCCTTTGTTAAGCGACGCATGACTGTACTGAAAGGGAAAAAACTGTCTAGAATTCTATATTCAGCAAAACTAACTTCCAAAAATGGAAACATAATAAAGACTTCTTCGGACATACAAAGGCTGAAAGAATTCATCACCAGTAGGTCTGCAGTACAAGGAAAAATACAGGCGGTCCTTCAGGCAGAAGGAAAATGATCGAGATGGAAATCTGGGTCTACACAAAAGAATGAAGACCACCAGGAAGAGTGACAATGTGGATAAGTCTAAATGACTTTGTTCTTATTATTTATATCTCTTTATTTATTTTTTATAATTTTATTTATTTATTTTTTTCCCCCAAAGCTCCAGTAGATAGTTGTATGTCATAGCTGCACATCCTTCTAGTTGCTGTATGTGGGACGCGGCCTCAGCATGGCCTCTCGGAGAAGCAGTGCGTTGGTGCGCGCCCGGGATCCGAACCCGGGCCGCCAGCAGCAGAGTGCATGCACTTAACCACTAAGCCACGGGGCCGGCCCTATATCTCTTTAAAGGTAACTACACATTTAAAGTGGAGATAATGATTACTGTGGAATTTATAATAGATGTTAAAGAAAAATACACGACAACAATAGCACAAAGGCTGGAAGGACAGAAATGGAAGTATCCTAATCCTGTCATAAGCTCTATATCAACATGAAGTTGAATGTATACTGTGTTAAGATAAAGATGTACATGATAAACCCTAAAGCAACCACTGAAAAACAAAAAACACAGACAGCAGTTACAGCCAATAAGCCAATAAAGGAAATAAATAGGAATCATAAAAAACACTAAATCCAACAGACGGCTGAAAGAGAGAAAAAAGAGAACAACGGAGACAAATAGGAAACAAACAGAAATACGGCCGATCTAAAGGCAAACATCAATAATCACATTAATTGTAAATAGTATTACCCCCAATTAAAAGGCAGGGATTGTCAGATTGGATTAAAAAACAAAACTCATCTATGTACTTCCCATAAAAAACATACTTTAAACATAAAGACACAACTAAGTTAAATACGTTGAAAGTGAAAGGACAGCAGAATCTATGCTAATACTAATCAAAATAAAGCTGGAGTACCTCCAGATCAGACAAAACAGATTTCAGAGCAAAGAATCCTCCCACGGATAAAGAGGGGCATGTCAAGAAAATGATAATTCTATATGTGTATATACATACAAAGTACGTTCTCTGACCACAATGGAATAAATTAGAAATCAATAGCAAAATAGTAACTGGCAAATCTCCAAATATTTGGAAACTAACTCTTTTTTTTTTTTTTTAAGATTTTATTTATTTTATTTTTTGCCCCCAAAGCCCCAGTAGATAGTTGTATGTCATAGCTGCACACCCTTCTAGTTGCTGTATGTGGGACTCGGCCCCAGGATGGGCAGAGAAGTGGTGCCTCGATGCGCACCCGGGATCCGAACCCGGGCCGCCAGCAACGCAGCGCGTGCACTTAACCGCCAAGCCACAGGGCCGGCCCTGGAAACTAACTCTTAGATGGCCCTTGGTTCAAAGGAGAAATCAAATAAACCATTTCTAAATAATCCGTGAGTCAAAGGAGCAGTCAAAATGGAAATTAGAAAGCATCTACAATTAAATGAAAATGAAAACACAACCTATTAAAATTGTGGGATGCAGCTAACGCAGTGCTGAGAGGAAAACATATAGCACTGAACATCTATACTAGAAAAGAAGAAAGGTCTCAAACCAAAGACCTCAGCTTCCGCCTTAAGAATTTGAAAAAGACAGGTAAAGTAAACCCAAAATAAGCAGAAGAAAGGAAACAATAAAGATCTGCCTCGTCCTAGCGGTATGACCTTGAGACATCTGTCTTGTTTCTTTTACCTTCCAGAGCCTCATTTTCCTCACTGGTAAAACGGGGAAAATAATATCCCATCCTCAAGTCTGTCATGAGTATCAAAAGCAGTAACGGCTGTGAAGTGCCTTACAAGCCATAAATCACTGTATGTCAGATTACAACTCACTCAACTTCTGCAAGGCTCTCCTTTTCCACCTGCAAAAGGGGAAGAGGAGGCAACTGTTCTACCTGCCTCACGAGGGTGTGCTGGAGCTCAGGAGGTACAAATTGCTAAACAAATTTCCTACAAAGTACTGCTATAGATTAACCTGTCCTCACTCAGCTAAAATATAAGCTTAAAAGACGACTTTTTAAAAAAAAAGTTGAGAGTTCAGTAACTAGCTTCCTCAGGCAATGCTACAGGTTCTGGAGAGAAAGAAGATGGCAGCACCTGAGAAACCCACGGGGTTTCAGAGCAGCATTTCTCAGACTTTAGCGTGCCTACGAATCACCCGGTGAACATGTTCACATGCAGATTCTGAGTGAGAGGTCTGGGTGGGGCCTGAGAGTCTGCATTTCCAACAAGCTCCCAGGGCATGCCCAGGCTGCTGGTCCATGGCCACACTTTCAGTGTCAAGGTTTTAGAGAACAGAGCATTGACCTATTTCACTATTTTACAGATGATGGAACTAAAGCTCAGACACTTGGGCAAGTGACTGGTGCAAGATGAGAGGCTGGGTAAGCGGTGGAGCTGGGACTTGAAGCCAGGTCTTTCACTCTAAGCCCAGTGCTCTTACACTCCACCCAGCTCTCAGCACTGGTCCACAGCCTGCAGTCTGCAGAACGGGGCCTGGCGAGCGACTCTAGGGAATGAGACCAGCTTGAGCAGCTGGAAGTGACTCAAGGGCTAAATCTAGCCACCCCCTCTGTCCTACAGCTGGCTAGATCTCATGGCCATGGAAGACCAGGGCCAAGCTGGGTGTGATTTCCATTTCCCCTCCGCTCCGGGAAGGTTCAGTTGATACCAACGCTTCCTTGCTGTCCTGTACCTGCCTTCCTCTCTGGGTGTCACCGACTGGCAGCTGAGCCACCAGGACCGGTGAGGAGGGGTTTCTACCCCGCCAGAGACTGCCCTTCAACGAGCTGATGGCCTTACTAACCCCCCCAATCTTGCGGCCTGTCTTTACAGATCCTTTCGTTAACTGTGACTCAACCTGTTGATCTCTCGCCTGACGCAAAATGTTTATCCCAGCAGATGCAGAGTTAACACAGAACCGGTTGGTCTCAGTGAACTCTGTTTTTTCTCCCAAGGACCTCACTGCACACCAGGGTTTCTCGACCACAGCACTACTGACGTTTTGGGCCAGATCATTCTTTGCCACGGGAAGCTGTGCACTGTAGGATGTTTAGACGCACCCCTCTCTCTACCCACTAGACGCCAGTAATAGCCTTGTCCTATAGCTTCAACCAAAAATGTCTCCAGACATTGCCACGTGTCCCCAGGGAAGCAAAATCGCCCCTGATTGAGAACTCCTGCTGAAAAAAACAGTGTTCTCAGCACTGGCTGCATATCAGAACTACCCAGTGGGGCCAGCCCCGTGGCTTAGCAGTTAAGTGCGTGCACTCCGCTACTGGCGGCCTGGGTTCGGATCCCGGGCGCGCAGTGACGCACTGCTTGTCCGGCCATGTTGAGGCCGCGCCCCACATACAGCAACTAGAAGGATGTGCAACTATGACATACAACTATCTACTGGGGCTTTGGGGAGAAAAAGGGAAAAAAAAAGGAGGAGGATTGGCAACAGATGTTAGCTCAGGGCTGATCTTCCTCACACACACACAAAAAAACTACCCAGTGAGTTTTAAATAACCCAGTGCACAAGTCACGCCCAGACCAGTGACACGAGAATCTCTACGGGAAAAACTCGGGGCTCCCATGGTGACCACAACTTGCAGCCCAGGTTGTACAGGACAGCCGTGGAAGCGGTTCCTCAGTGAGAAGGCCCCTCACCTGTGGTAGCAGTCCAAACCAGACTGTGGCTGAGCCGCACGCCGGGGGGCATCTCAGGATGGACAGGAGGCACGTGGTCCCGCATCAGCTTCAGCACCAGCAGCAGCACCATGCAGACCAGCCCCAGCACTGCATCACCCACCCTGCAGACAGACACCTGGTCACTGCCCGACCCAGCCAATGCACCTGCCTTCTGGCCTTTGGTTGCCACTTCTGCTGGAAAGCTTTCTCTTTTGACTGCTCTTTTTCTTTTTTTCCTAAGCAACTGAATCCCTGTTCTATTTCAAAACTTTACTCAAAACTCAGTAAGAACACAGGACAGGGAGCCGAGGCCCAGATCACAACAGCAGCAGGGCTACCAACTCTCGTCTTCAGTCATGTAGTTCTCTGGGCTACAGGTCCCTTGTCTATTCCAGAGATTTTGGACTCAATAATCCTTTCATTTCTGACAGTCTATGATGCTCTCTAACCGGTCCGCCTGGTCCAATTTCTGCTGCCCCCCAGGAGGCTGACCCCCCCCCCCACTGCTGCATCTCCAGGGCCACGGAGTCCCCCGCTTCCAGTGAGAAGAGGGCAGTCACAGGTCTCCCCGACTACCCCCAGGCCTCAGCACTGCTCGTGCTGGGCAGCCACCCCATAACTTCCCCCAGATCATTTCTTCCTCTTGCTCCTCCAGCCAAAGAGGTGTCCTGGCTTCTGGCTGCGCTCATCTAGGAGGATCTCCTGTTTGTCCCTTTAACCTGCCTGCCCTCTGGGAGGGATTTCCTCACCTGAGGGAAGTGCTTGCTGCAGGAACCCCACAACCAGCCGCCTAGCTCTCACTCTCCCTCCACCTGCCGTCTGGTCCTTGGGGACACACATTCTGTTTGCATCTGCTCCTCCTCACTCAGCTACGAACCTTCTGGGAGAGAGACTGCCTGCTCGTCCTCTTTGTGGTGTCTCCCACTCCTACCACCCAAGAGAGCTCTGCACAGAGTCACGCTGACTGGCTTTCAGGTTGCTGGGAGCAGAGCTTCTCAAGCTTCAACGTGCACACCAACCATCTGTGGCTCCTGTTAAACCTGACTCTGATTCAGCAGGTCTGGGCTGGCCTGAGAGTCTGCATTTCTAACCAGCTCCCCCGTGATGCTGATGGTGCTGCTCTGGGGACCCCTCTTTGAGCAGCAAGACCCCAGAGGATGGAATAAATGCCACCTGGGAGTGGAAACAGGGAGGGGGCCGGAAAAGGGGGTCTGGAAGGAAGAGCTTCCTTAGATGGGGGCAGAATTACAAAGCCAGTAGGGTACCTGGTCTCTCCGATGTTGCAGAAGGTGTGATACACTTGCAGAAAAAACTGCCTAGGGATGTGCTGCAGCCCCAGGAGATTCTGTTCAAACAGAGATTCTGATTAGACAAGCTTCCCTGAAATGAGGCTTGAGGCCCATCCCTTGCAGCATCTCAGCACCGCGTAAATCTGGAATCCTCCACTCCCAAGGGCCTTTCCTGGGGGCACATCTCAAGGCTCTCCCGCAGACCATCTACCCATTCCCAAAGCCCCCAAGAGCAGGAGATCAAAGTTATCCTTGGAGGAAAGGCAGCTCACAACGTTTGGGATCAATGACACCTTTGTAAATTATTTTCATTTCTGAGGAAAATCAGCCTGAGCAATCTCAAAGCAGGGAGATCGGTTCCACCGCGCCCTGCTCAGGGGTCCAAGGTCCGAGGCCCCAGCCCGGCCACCGCGCAGGCCCCGCTGCCATCGGATCATGGCCGCGGCAGTCATTCCTAAGCCTGCGCCCCGCCGCCATTGGCTGGAGGCCGCGTCCCTCGCTCGGAGCCCCGCCTGCCAGGCACCACCCCCTGCCGGAAGGAAAAATCACCCGGAGCTGCGCAGAACGGCCCCAGGGGCTTTGAGGGCCTCCAGGGAAGGGGGCTGGGGGACCCCCTGGCATGCTGGGGCCTCTCACCAGGATCCTGGCCCTTGGGTCAGGAGAGAGAAAGGGCTCTCCTCTGTGCTTTTGTTCTTTATCCGCTTCAGACCCAGTGGGGAGCCATAGAGGGCTAAGTGGAGGCCCAGACTCCCAGGGCTGTCAGGTTCCAATGACCCCAAAATCCACTGAGCACACAGCCCCCGAGGGAAAAGGACACCAGGGTAGACCCGCAGGGTCTTCTGTCCTGGGCAGGTCAAGAGGACCCCACCCCCACCCCAGCCTAGGGGCTCTCATATGGCTATCATTACCTAGGCGAGGTTTTAATGACTTTCCAGTGTCCAGGGCCGTCAAGTACAAACACATAAAAAAGCTACCCTCTATGTGCATTATGATTGTACAAAGGCACATTCTTGACACTAAAAATGAAGGATACTGGTTCCAGAATAAAGGACAGACCTTCACACAAAACAGCATTTGCCAAGCTTCCCCTGACTTGTGTGTACATAACGTATAAATTGCATTCGCCCACACCTTTCTAAGTTTTTTCCTCCTCTCCAAATGGAGATGATGATAAACCTACCTCCAAGGGTGTAGGGAGAATCAAACACATGGCAAGTGTTTAATCCAGTCCTCAGCACATGGTAAGAAAGCAAGAAGTGCCAGCTACTTGATTCTCACACATACATCTCCTCCTGTCCTTGATCTTCCCGCTCCCCTATATCAGGGAAGATGTCCTGGGCCAGCCTGCAGCAGAGCCTGGCCAAGGGAACCAGGCCTTGGAGAGGTCACGAGACAGGGGTGTGGCCCTGAGTTGGCCACCAAGGGCCCCACGGCTTCATTTGTACAGTTCACCTTGGTTTCACTCTGCATACCCACCTGAATGCTTACCTACTTCATACCAAGCACAGCACTGGGCGGCCATGCTTGGGAGCAAAACAGTTCTTGCCCTCCAGGAACTTCAAACGCAGCAAAAGGAGAATAAATGACGGCCTCAGATAACCAATGATCACTGACTCTAGTACTTCTCATAGATCTTTAAATAGTAGTATAAAGTAGCATGGCATTTTAAAAATATTAAACAGAAATTGGGAAAAAAAAAACCATAAAGATGAAATCATCTAGCTAAGTGAGCGTGGGGGAATCATTTGCTTGTCAAAATTTTGGCAGTGTGCTCGTGACCTGTGACGGCTTCCGGCTAAGTGTGCAGTACAGGCAGTGAAACAGAACCACTCCGTGGGGTGAACCAAGCACATTGATGGGAAAACTCTGCCAAGAGCGGGGCTGTCATTACCAGTCCTGCAAATGACCTATTGTAGAATCTGACCCTCACCCAGCATCTCCCGGGAGGGGTCATTTTATTCACAGAGACCCAAGTGAGCACCATGGGCTTCAAGCTCTGGAATAGCAAGACGTAGGCTGGTCCTCATATATCAGGACCCGGCCTTGGTCCTGCTACCCAGCAGGTGCCCCGGGGCCAAGTGGCAAGCCTACCTTGATCTGCCCGAATCCAATGGTGACAGCAGCAGCAGAGGTGAAACCTTTAATGACGGGGCAGGAGATGAAGTCCAGCAGGAACCCTGGCCGGCCAAGAGGGAATATGAAGCTGGTCCCAGCTCCGCCCAGTCCCAGAGGACACAGGTGGATGTAGGCTGAGAGAGGTGATATGGGTGGAACTGGGGCTAAGGACTGGTGGGCAACACACCCTGTTTGGACTGATTTGGAGAGCAAGAAAGAGAGGCTAGGGTCTGAGGCCCTGGGCACTTCTCCAAGTGTCCTTGCCTCTAACTAGAACAGGGTAGGGGCTGACGGTTGAGGGCACCCCCCCCACACACACACACTCAGGGATAGCCCTTGAAATGCAAGGAAAGAAATGCTGAAGGCAGGGGCATCCCCAGGAGGCAGGTGCCTCTGTACCCCAGGAAGAGCAGAACTGCAGCCCCCCCCCCCCCCCCCGGCAGAAAGGCCTGAGAGTCTTACCCAAGCACAAGAACCCCATGGCTAACTGGATGCAGCCCGACAGGAAGGCCAGCAGCACGGCATAGGCGGGCTCATGGAAGGTGTAGAAGGAGACCAGGAGGGACATGATAGCTGTGGGGCCCAGAGTCACATCCCGGGAGGTGCCCAGGAAGAAATAGACGAAGCACCCCATGAAGGCAGAGTAGAGGCCGTACTGTTGGGAGAGAGAGCAATGAGCACCCAGGAGGCACCTGGCACACCCAAAGTGTCCCTGGTGTAGACGTCTGAGCACACGGATCTGTGGGGCCCATTGTATACGTTGGGGACACCAGTGCGCACAGGCAGAGTAAACCTCTCACCCTCTAGAGGTTGCGTCCCACACACAGCAACTAGAAGGATGTGCAACTATGACATACAACTATCTACTGGGGCTTTGGGGGAAAAAAAGGAGGAAGATTGGCAATAGATGTTAGCTCAGAGACGGTCTTCCTCAGCAAAAAGAGGAGGATTAGCACGGATGTTAGCTCAGGGCTGATCTTCCCCACAAAAAAAAAAAAACCTCTCACTCTCTATTATCCACCGGTGTGGGCCTGCTGTGATTAGGGGCCTCCTTTCTACCTGCACCCAACTGGGGCCTTGGGTGCTGCCTGTGTGCTCACATGTGAGTCTGCGAGTCTGAGGAAGTGTTCTTAAGGCTGTAGTGAGTCATGCCACTGGAACCATTAGGCAATCCAGAACTAGCCCGGTGCCTGTGTGTGACAAGACCAGTTACAGGGGCGTATGTCCGCCCAAAGGCAGTCACATGCTCCAGATTGTAAACCAAGGCTTCTTGGGTCCAAGGAGCAGGAGCTCTGGGTGCCTCGCTTGTCTGGAGGGGATACTATCTATTTCTACTCTGCTTCTGGGTGGGCACTGAGGCCCAGAGTGGGGTCAGGCCGTGGGGGAGGGCATGTGGCCAGTACTGGGGGCAGACATCTCACCTGAGGCGGGAGTCCAGCCACCTCAGCATAGGCCAGCGCCTGGGGAATGACCGTGAGCCCGACCGAGAGGCCGGCGATGAAGTCCATCTTCAGCCACTGCATGGAGTAGTTCGGCAGCCAGGCCAGGATGGGCAGCCTTCTCCGCACGGCCCCAAGGGAGCAGCAGCAGGCCTGCGGGGCTATACCTGCACCAGAGGGCCTGGCCTGACCCAGCGCCTTCACAGAAGGGGGCATGCCTGCGGTGGGCCTGGGGGCAACATAGACCAGCAGTGAGGATCCCAGCTTCAGAGAATCCAGCAACAGGCGGGAGTCCAGGGCCATCAGGAGAGACACAATCCAGCTCCCCTCCAAGGGGTCTGAGGCAGAATGTTAACCCCCCCAACCCCCCCCCACCCCGAGAGAGGAAGCCAACAACCTGAACAACCTGTGCAGAGGGGGCCTCAACCAAAGGTGGAGTCCCCCCTGTCCTTCACTCTCCCTGAATCCCACTTGCCCAAACCCTAGGTGCCCTCTCTCCTTCCATCGACACTTGCCAGGAAGAATATGATAAACGATTTCTCAACGAAAAGCCTAAACACTAACTAGACTCGGGGTTTCTCCTCCCAGGAACATTTGTTTGCTTCTTTTTCCTCCCCAGGGAATTTAACGAGGAGCAGTGCAGAGAGAAGCAGGTCCACGGGGGCACCCTCGTCTGGCTGGCGTGGTGCGTGTGGCGGGACTGGAAGCCCTGAGGGCCCCGATGCTTTCCAAGTGCGCACCACTGCGGGTTCCACTCACTACTGCGGACTGCGTGGAGGCCGGGGGGGGGTCTCCCATCCCGAGGCTGCGCATTACGCCAACCCCCACCTGTGGCATTCGCATCCCTAGAGGAGCCCCAAGGGTTCTAGGTGGTTCTGGGAGAACGTCAGAGGCTCCTCCATTAATTCAAGGTGCGCAACACCCTCTAGGGTCCTGGCGCCCTGTGCGCGCAGAGCAGGCCCCGGCGGGGCTACTTTGGGCAAAACCCGGCCCCCACCCCCGAAGCCGCGTGCCCCGAGCCTCGAGTCTAAGGTGGGGACCCCAAGCCGGCTGACGGTCCGCGGCCTGCCGGCCCCAGAAAGGCCGAGGACGACAAGAACGTGGGTAAGGACGCGGTGGATGGAGAGCGGGGGTCCCCACAGGAGGTGCCGGCAACCTCGGACCCCGCGCCGCCCCCGCGTCGGCCGCTCCCCGGCAACCCCGGCCGCTCCCCGCAGCTCGCCCACCCCGCCCCGGGCCCCGCGCCCCGCGCCCCGCGCCCCGCCACTGCCCGAGACTCCCCGCGGACTCACCGAGCGCCGCACTTCGCAGCTCAGCGTTTTCAGGTGTCGCCGCAGCCGGGTCTGCAGGAACCGCAGAGGGAGGGGGAGCGAGGGGCGGGGCCTTGTCTGCACGTGACCTCGGGCCGAGGCGGACAGAGGCGGGGGGCGGGTCTGACGCGCACGTGACCGCGGGGCGGGGCCGGGCCGGGAGCTGTCGCCATGCGCCTATCCGGGTCTGCTTGCTGGGCGCTGCTGCTGCTGCTGCTGCTGCTGGTGGTAGGGCTCTGCCGCGCGCACCGGGTGTGCCCCCGGAACGTGCTGCTGATCCTCGGTGAGTGCGCCCCTTTCGACCCGCTGCCACCCCGGGCGCCGCCCTCCACGGCCGCCTGTTGTCTCCCCCAAAAGCGGCCACTCGCCCCTCCACACCCGCGGTCAGTGCTGACACCAGCGTGCCCTGAAGCCTCCACTGCCATTCCTTCCCCGTATGTCGTCTCTTCTGTCCCCAGACTCCTCGTGGTCGGCTCCTTGGAAAGGGAGGCAGGGGCACCTTCGCTTACCGCGGAGTCTGCTGGGATTCAGACCCCAGATTCAGCACCCCACTCCTGCTCCGGCTCTGACCCTGCACCCCCACCCGTGCCCAGAGCAGCCAGGGCTAACCCTGCGGGTCCCCAGCTCGGAGGCTGGGCGGCTTTCCAGAACTCAGGGATCCACAGATTCCACAGGGGATGCCAGAAGAAGGGCTGGTGCCCAAGTCCCCAGAAGAGGTGGCTGGGGTGCCTTGGGGTTCTCAGCTCCTCCTCAGAGGTTTTTCAGACCCCAGAGTGCTGTGGCTCAGCTCTTATTTTCCTGGCCATGGGCAAAGCCCCACGCACCCACCCGCCCTCTCCTGGAACCCCATCCCTTCCAAGAAACCCCAAGTTCCTCCCGCGCCCTGCTGTTCACAAGATTTCCAGACTTCCGGCTTCGGTGACCAGGGTCTGGCTGTCACAAGGCAACCTGATTCTTTCCTCTTTTGAGGTCTGGCCCTCTGCCAGGTTCACTCATTGTGATTAACTTTGTGGTCTTGGGCCGGGCCCTTCAGCTAATCTTAACGTAAACAGCTCTCCACTGAGGGGCTCCTGTCAACTACCCACCACCCAGGGACACAGGTGGAGAATCTGCACGTGGAACCACATCCTTGTGTGGTGTCTGCAGAGTCCAGGACCACCCAATCATGCCTGCCTGCTAACATGCTCAGCCAGGCTAATATGTGCCTGGTAGCATTCCCACTCAGCTATCAGGCCCACCCGGCTATCACGCCCACCTGGGCATCACTGGCCCAGGCCACCAGGGCGGGACCCAGATCTCCCTCACACCCACACCTTCTCCTCCTGAGCTCCGCCCACCGTGTGCTCTGTGTCTCCCGCCTTCCCCAGCGGATGATGGAGGCTTTGAGAGTGGCGCCTACAACAACAGCGCCATCACCACCCCTCACCTGGATGCCTTGGCCCGCCGCAGCCTGATCTTCCGCAATGCCTTCACCTCAGTCAGCAGCTGCTCTCCCAGCCGCGCCAGCCTCCTCACTGGCCTGCCCCAGGTGAGGGGGCAGGGGCGCAGGAGGAGGACCTGGGAGAGGGAGAGCCCTCGAGGCCTCTGCTGCAGGGAACCCCTCCCTGGTCTCCCCTGGGGGTGCGCCCACCTCCCCTCCCCCACCCCCAGCTGAGTGGTCCGAGTGCGGCTGCGGGCTCCAAGCACTCTGTGACCACGAGGAAATCACTGACCCCTGTGCGCCTCAGTCTCCTGCCCTGTAAAATGGGGTTCTGATCGTTCCTCACTCACGGGGTTATTATGGGATTGGCCAAGTTAATACTTTATGTGTAAAGGATGTAACAAGGTTCCTGGTACACACTCGCCCAGTGTTAACTTCTATTGTGATATTGTCCTAGGAGCTTGCATGACAATAAGAGCTGCCGTTTAAGGCACTTACTCTGTTTTTATTGTGCTAAGATACATATAAGGTAAAATTTACCACTTTAGGGGGCTGCCTGGTGGCCTAGTGGTTAAGTTCAGTGCACTCTGCTTCGGTGGCCCAGGTTTGGTTCTTGGGCTCGCACCTACACTACTTGTCAGTGGCCATGCTAGGGTGGCGGCGACCCACATACAAGATAGAGGAAAATTGATAACAGATGTTAGCTCAGGGTGAATCTTCCTCAGCATAAAAAAAAAAGTTTACCATTTTAACCATTTTTAAGTGTACAGTTTAGTAGCATTAGGTACATTCACATTGTTGTGCAACCATCACCACCATCCATCTCCAGAACTTTTTCATCATCCCAAGTTAAAACTCTGTTCCCATTAACCACTAACTCCTCATTTCTCCTCCCCCAGCCCCTGGCAACCACCATCCTACTGTCTGTCTCTGTGAGTTTGGCTACTTTGGGTACCTCACATAAGTGGAACCACAGTATTTGTCCTTTTGTGACTGGCTAATTTCACTGAGCATAATGTCCTTAAGGTTTATCCATGTTGTAGCGAGTGTCAGGATTTCCCTCCTTTTCAAGGCTGTATAGTATTCCACCATTGTGTGGATAGAGCACATTGTGTTTATCCATTTATCTGTAGATGGAAGCTTGGGTTGCTTCTACCCTTGGCTCTTGTGACTAGTGCTGCTGTGAACCTGGATGTACACAGGCATTTACTCTTTTTTTTTTTTTTTATAT